ACTAGTACAAAAATAAATATTTATATATTATTATTATATATATTATTATTATTATAGTATTACACTAATGAAAACATTGGATATAAATTAATAGTTCAGTACATATTCTGGGGAAATCCTTGGAAAATGAATGGTATTTAATTTTTTGTTTGCTTCAGTCTATGATTTGGGAATATGCAATACCCCCTTTCTCTGGAACTATGAAGAAACATATCTCATTATTAAACTCCAAGTTAAAAATGAAGTACGTAAAGTTTCAGTTTACGTGAAGACTATCATTCAGTGAAATAAAGAAAGAAACATGTATATAAATTAACACTACAATATTCATATACTATGGCTAATTCCGGGCAATAATTCCAATAGTTAAATTAAGACATATAAATTTGTGAAATTGCAAACAAAATTAAAAATTATGTTCACAATTCTTTAGCTTCAAATTTCAAGTTGTGTAAAAATTGTTGTAAGAGATTTTTTAGAAGTACATACTACTTGCGTGTATGTTATTGGAAAGTTTCATTCATAAGTAGTATGAGTATTTGATATAAGGTGATGAAACAGTTTAACATTTTTCGCCTAGGTTTGAGGTTTTAATTTTTAAATGCTGTTAATATATATATTAATAGAGTTTTGGATTTCAAATTTAACAATGATCTGTATAGATTTTTTTTTAAGAAAACGGTTGTTGAATATTATCGACATTTCAACATCGACATGGGATTATTTAGCAAACAATTGCTAAAATTTAGCTTTTTATTCATCAAGTATCTTGTCAAATATCTTGGCACCTAATGTAGTTCTCTATTCTAATAGCTTTTTTATTTTGCGTATTGTGGTCATGGATATCACTTCTCAATATATAATTTTTTTTATCAGCATGCTCTCGAGAGGCTCTTTTGAATATCCATAACTTTGGAAGTGTGTGCACTGAACCTTCAAGTTAATATTTCATATGAAAGTACAAAATGGTACATAGCAAATTAGATCTTTCTGGCACAATCCTGATTTATTATGGATCTAATCCTTCTGATGGCATTGATAGTTTTTAAGACTCTCGTGCATAATAGATCTATTAGTTTGGCTCTAATTATGAATTAGAGTTAAAAAACTAACATTTCAAACTACTTCAAGTTCAACTATTTAGAACTAATTATGAATTTGAGTTAAAAAACTAAATTTGTGTACATAGTTGTTGAAGTCTAAATGCTGAATGTATGTGTGTACAGAAATTTTTTTAAAAATGTGCAAACTGGTAAAAACATATGGTTACGGAAAGTAATAAAAAGGGACATGCTTATTCAGTAATAATATTGTTTGAAAAATTGTCAAGGAATATTTTGCAATCATTGCAGAGTGAATAGCTGTCAAGTCTCTTGTTGAATGCTTTATTGCTTAACGATATTAGACAATCTTCACTAAATCTTCCTTTAAATATATTGTTTTCAAAATACTTGGGTTTAGAAAATCAATGTTATATTGAAGGGTGTTAATATGATCTGAGAGCATTGTTCTATACTGATTTTTATTTTTTGAATTATTTCTATGTTGAGAGATCCTTTTGTGTAAATTTTGGCTAGTTTCGCCAATGTAAAATCCTTGGAAATTTAGACAATAATTTGTATACTAAATTACACTAAATGTTGAAAGAGTGTTATCTGAGGTAAAATGAAGAGTTAAACATAATGTTTCAGTAGTCTTTACCTCAGATAACGCTCTTTCAACATTATTCACTAAATCTAAATTCGATCCGAATATTTTAAGTAACTTAGTATACAAATTAAATTGTCTAAATTGCCAAGGATTTTATATACTCAACATATATATATATATATATATATATATATATATATATATATATATATATATATATATACCTTACATACTCCTATATATATATATATATGAAATATATACCCTATATACATATGAATGCAATGCATGCAAAAATGCAGGCGCACGCCCTAAGGGGGCGCCAAAACGAGGTTCGGAAATAAAATTTATAATATATTATTTATATATTTTTTTAAATATAAAATCCAGAATACTTAATAGATTATAATAAACAATCCAACTTAACTATGAGACACAAAAAACATATTCAGTTTGCAATGTAATATCAATAGAAACAATTAACCAAATAATAACTCTGCAAATTTGTAAATTAATGTTCTACTTATTATTGTTTAATGTACTTATTAATTTTTTTTCGTTTGAAGTTAACGTTGAATCGAAAAAGAAATTATTTAGTGTTCAATCCTGTAAGAGCAAACCTACGAAAGTTTAAATTAATTATTGGGCGTTATTGGTGAAAAATGGTAAGCTGACTTAGTTGAAATGCAAAGAAACATATACTAATTATACTAAAGAAAATGGAAAATGGGAAATCAGTGCTTAGAAAATGGCTCGTTTATTCCGAAAAATTGAATTGTAATTTCTGTTTTTGTTGCAAATGTTTCACATCTGCTGAACTTTGAACGTTGAAGACATGCGTGGTTAGGTTTATGGAGCAAATATGAAAAATGGAAGCAAAATGTACTTAGGAACCAAAATCTTTAACCTTTTCTATACAAAATTTAATTATTAACTATGCGGAAATAATACAGATACAATTATAATTTGTTTGTTCCCGTTCCCGTATACTTAAGGGAATAAGTAATTTCTTTGCATCTTTTACTAATCTTTGGACACTTTAAAAAATAATTTAAAAGCTTAACTTTAAAACAACAATCTGATACTCTGTATCTGATGGGAAAATAAAGTTGAATACAATTCGGCCCTTACGATACCAATAAGGAGAAGTTTACGATTCAATTTTGGATATTGTAAATAGTGAAAATTTAATTTAAATTAAAACATGAAAATACGAGTGTTGTGTTTAAAAATCAAATACTAGTTTTTTTTTTTGCTTTTTTGGCGTGATTTGTTCTATAGAATAAATCGCATAATAAATAAGTTAAATGTTTCAAAACCCAAATATATATTAATATTACACATACATTAGAAATAATTGAGAATTTAAAAATATTTGACTATGATCAACCCGCGAGTCGCCTGGATTTTCTAAATAAATTTAAATCAATGTATTTTATACGCTTTTAGATTTTATCTATTTTTTGTGTACTAAATCCAGAAAGACTAGAAATTAATCAAAAAAAAATTACGTAAATGTTTATATAATTTTAACGAAAAACTGTTAAAACAGTTAAAATTATTGGGGGGAGGGGGCGCTAAAACAAATCTTGCATGCGGGCGCTGAGAACCCCAGGACCGGCCCTGTATATATATATATATATATATATATATATATATATATATATTTGCAATACTATGAGTTGGTAAAATACTCTTAATAGTTTACAATCCCTGCTATCATCGTTCGGAAGGAATCGACGCTTTCCGTTCAGTACGTCACATGACTGATATAAATAACATCGTGTGCAGTACATGCACCCGGGTCCCATTTAGACATGCAGCCAGCGTCCCATATTATTATTTGCTTTCCAACTCGTGAACAGGCAACGTATAACTGCCCATGTGAAAAACAATGATTTTCTAAATAATCTATTTGAAATTTGTCCCGCAAACACTAAGCGATTGGCCTTGCAACTTGTTATTGCGAACGCAAGGCGAACTGGAAATTGCAATCGTTTGAACTCAAACGGAAGACCAGTCGGAATCATTGGTATGTCACCAAATCGCCAGCAATATTTGATTGAATGGTGAAATTTAGTGCGTGTACATCATTATTCATTGCGCCAAGAATTGCTCGTTGACTTAACCAAGCATAATTCTGATAATTCTCACTGATGTTATTACTCGAATTTTTAATTACGGTGCGTGAAGTTCCAGCAGCTTACATTAAGGCACGATGCCATGCACAACTAATTTTCTTAGCTATAAACCTTGCGGAGCCCGAGACCTTTCCAACGAATGCAAAATTGTCGAAATCGGTTCGTGCGTTCTGGAGATATTTCGTCAGGAAGAAAAACCCGACTTATTTTTATATATATAGAAGATAACACAATAATACAATAATATTTTTTCAGCTGTATTTCGGTTGTATGAATCAAACTGGTAAATTTTTCACTTTCACTTCGGTGCAATATTGATGAACCACAATTCATGATTCGAACTACTACTATCCTGAATTAGTTTTTTTTTTATAAAATGTTGTTGTAGGAGGTCTAATAGATGTTTTGTCAATTTTTGGTCGATCTGATTACAATTACAGCCATGACGCATAATTGTGCGATCCGCATGTCAAATGGGTCCTAGGAGTATCTTGACGTGAACACAGTGAACGTGTTAATTGTGTACAGGCAGACGAAAGTTTCTCAAACCGATATACAAATTTTAGTATATGGGCTATTACCGAAACTTTTTAGCACGCAATGAAGAAACTAGCATTATCAGCTTTATTACCTTCCCGCAGGGCAAAATAATCTAATGAGAATTTATGTATCTGTACGTACTTTTTTATGTATCTGTACGTACGTATGGGTGCAAGTAATAATTAAAAAAAAAATGATTTGTATTAATGGGAAGACGTGCTGATTAGTTTTTGGCAAAGGAGTGTCGAACCTTTTCGAAAATGCGGGCTAAAAATGGTAATTCAGTTTTTGAGAGAACGGAGCGTCCGATTTGAATAATCCAAAAAACGTTATATTTGTCTTGAGGAGGAAACGAAGAACTGGTCAAACTCTTAGTTCTTAGTTCATTCCAATGTTTATCCGTTAGACTGCGACGCGGCGCTTACGCGCTTCGATATTTTGTTTATAAAATAGCTACGCAGAGCTATATCGTCTGTAATGTTTCGTACTATTTTTTCGAAACGGCGTATTGGTCGTGTGCTTTCGTCTAATAGAATTCATGCTTTGATCTTTAGCTTTGTACTCCCGGGCTTATTTTCGGCAGTGCGCGCGCGCGTATCATCTCCCATCTCAGCTTATTCTGTGAACGTGCGTGGTCCATTCAGAATTCACATTGCCTTTTCTTAAAACTCATCGCGTGTGTTTGTTTATTTGTGATTTTTCTGAATGGTCAATGTGGTTTTAAAGAGTTTGTATATAATGTGGTAAATTTGTGTTCGTTATAGAAAGGGTTAAACCATTTTATTTGAAATTATCTAAGGATTAAGAGTAAAAGTATATTTTGCAAAGTAAAGGGCGAGTAGTATATTATGAGTAATATTTGACAGTGCAGCGGTTACTATGTTTATATCCTTAGTATGGTGAGAAAAGAATTGCTACTGAACTTTGACGTGTATTTAGTTTCAGTAGATTTCAAATAAATAAATAATGTTGGATGAAAATTTTATTATTTAAAATTTGATTAAAGAACGAAGATTTGATCAATGTGCGTATATTGTTATCATATCAGCACTTTTTGAAAATATAGTATAATAATAATTTGCAAAAAAAACAATGTTTTGATTTTTATATTACAACATAAATTGATCAGGACTTAATTATCTAAAATCTAATAAATCCAAAATATTATATGAAAGTTCTTATATTTTTGATGCCATATTATACTCCCGTTCAGTGTAATTTGGAGCCCACTCGCTTGAAATTGTCCTATTACTTGTTTCCTTCGCCCAACTCTTTGCTGTATATTATTTTATTATTACGTTAATAAATTAATTGGTAGTGTACAGATTGAGCTGTTGCGCATTAGTCTATCTATTTATCTTATACAGCCTAATATATGAATAGCGCACGTGTACTTGTATACTCGGTAGTAGGCTATCTATTTCCTAACCTATTTTTAAATCTAAATATTTCTATTACGCATTTGACTATACTCGTTTTGAAGCTTTTCAGACTTGAACGAGAAGTTAACTATGCTTGAAGTAACTAATGAGCTTTAAAAAAAACAAGATTCCAAATATATAATATTCTACTTTTTTAAGGGTCTTGCTCAAATTATTGACAGAGTCAGGTTTTATTATACTTCTATTTATTTATCGGTATTTTCAACATTTATAACATACCTGCAAAATACAAAAAAACTTAAGCTATTTGATGGTCGTTGAAATGGTTCTCTATAAAACTGACTTACTATTATTCCGCTTGTTATTTAAATACAATATTTCTTAAAAAGCTTAATTTAATAATAATTACTGAAAATGATACTTAAGTGACGTGCATGACAATGGATTTAGACAAAGATATAAAGATAATTCTACAACTACAAAAATTCTAAATTCGTAATTATTGATAATTAACATCTTGCGTTTTTATAAATAGAACTTAGATAACAACTTGAACTGAAAAAATACTTAGAAACACATTTGTTCATTTTATATAATATTTATATGTAATATTGACTTTATGTTTAATGTCTTGTAAATTTTATTGTTCAATTTTGAAATTTTATAATATTTGTTTCCTTATTTGAAGAAACAAAATATAACGTTGTACGCCATCAAATATTTTAATTATATTTACGATAATAATATCACAGCAGTCAAAAAAGTAGTTTTTACAGTATTTTATTAAGGTTTTAAAATTAAGAAAAAAATCTTTAAAACATTAGTGCTTTAAATAAAATAATAATAATTCATTAATTAAAATTATGCATATTGCTTTAATGTCTATAAAAATTCAATAACTCGGACATGTCTGCATATAGCTTATGTTTAAGGAACTTTTGACCACCAAATGTTAATTTTCCTCCGTATCTTCAAAATCGCTAAACTTGTTTCTCAAAGTACCGTTAGTACTTTAATAGTTTTTCAAAAACCGAATGGCTTATTTTCGCCATATTTTCTTTGTTTATTAAATGGCTGGACCGGCATCACTTAAAGTCAACTTTGAAATCGTCAGAACAATCAATTTTCTAAAATTTTTATTAATTATTACCCTTTTCTCGGAAATTTACTGAAAATTTTATTTCTATAATTTATCTTACGTAAACTAATATCATGTGAATATGATCGAAAAATTCATGTGATCTTTTATTAAAATATTTTCTTAATGCCAGTTAAATTCCGCTTGCGGCTACGAACTGAACCTAAAAATTGAATCGTGCCAAGGCATACGTTTTTACGAATTTAACTTTTTACAGGAATAATTTATTTAACAATATTTTATAGTATAATATGTGCATTAATTTTTGCAACTGTAAAACATGGTTAAAACGTTGATTAGCGTGGTGATTAGCGGTAGCGATTAGCACGGTTAGAAACGTTGATTTACTAGTAAAATTTATTAACGAAAGTATTAGTGATGCATTAAAAATTTATATTATAACTGCTGAGTCTATGTATAGTCAGTGATGTGTGGCTATCATGCCGAGGAACTGATTTATGACAGCATATTATGAACGAATTATTACATCATTATTTTCTTATTAAAAACATTATTTACTTTGTTCGCTCATTTTATCAACTTCGGTTTGTTTAGAGCGCTGTATGTTTCTACTAGTGGTGTTTAGGATCTTTCAGAACACCATTTTTTGCTAGATGCTAGAGACATGATAAAAAGATACGGCATTCGTTCGTATTGATCAGCAATTAATTGTATAGAGATTTCAAAATTTAAAAGTTTTTATATGAATGACATTCATATTTATTGAATGTGGGATATATCTACGATAAGAACTTCTTATTAATATATTTATAAATTTCATAAATTACGTATTTTTGAGATATCTTTTATGCATTTTTCACATGCTACATTATTAGAATATATATATATATATATATATATATATATATATATAAATTACAGGTTCTATTTTTGTTATATGTTTTGGCTACATTTTTCGACGACTTTCGAGTGACGCGATTATATTTTTGTTAGCGATTTTATTGTATACAAAATATAAAATAAAACATGATATAATCTCAGACTCCTCGTTGCAATTATATTTACTATTTGAAGGCATGTTATCAAGCAAATATATATTTTTTTGCGTAATACTAATAAGCTACCCTGTCAATTTAAAGATTAACGTTTTACGATTTTTTGGTATACCAATCTCTACGTTTACCGTAGTGATAATTATACCACATATGATTTACAAAATTTTGAAATTTAATCAAAGTTATAATTGTATATATTGTATAATATCTATTGATAAAATTATGAATTAACGACACAAATTAATTAAGATTAGTACTACGGCCTTTTAGCATTTCATTTTAAAGTTCGAATACCCTCATATTAACGGATTCCGTAAACCTAATGTTACTCTAACAATTTGAGGACTCATTGTTATTCAAATTTTTAAGCCTGAAAATATCGAATATTTACCGTAACTAATTAAATTTGTTCTATTAGACCTTGAATTTTTTACGAAAAATATGTACCATGTAAAAAAAAATTGTAATTCAGTTTTTGAGAGAATGGAAGGTCTAATTTAAATGATTCAAAAAACCTTTTACTTGTATTTTGGGAGGGCCGGCCGGTTTGACAATTTGACAAAAAATTACTTTTTTTTGAAAAAGAAAAATTGAAAAAAAAATGTTTTCTTTATTTTGACATATTTTGGAAATTCTGAACTTTTTTCAAAGCAATCGTACTGCTTTAACTGCATAGAGACGAAATGTTCAAGCGCGCAAGCGCCGCGTCGCCGTCTAACGAATAAGCATTGGTACGGAACCCATAGGAATGTAAACAAAATTTATACTTATTGTTAAAATCTCTATAAAATATCTGATAATTTGATGTGCATATGTCTAATGATCATTTTTGACCGCCAAATGGCATTTTTTTTTACTTTTTTCAATAGGTTTCCGAAACCGCTATACCTGCCTTCATAAAAATCAATTCTTTATCTTGTCAATACAAGTAAAATGTTGTTTGAATTATTGAAATCGGACGCTCTATTCTCTTAAAAACTGAGTTACCGTTTTCGGCACTTTTTGCCCCGTATCTTCGGAACGGCTAGACCTGCGTTCGCCAAAAACTAATCAGCACGTCTCCTTATCAATATGAATCGAATGTTCTTTGAATTATTCAAATCGGTTGATCGGTGTTCCCGAAATCGTCGACGAAAATTTGTCACACACACACGCACACGTGCACACACACACATCCATTTTTTCTAAGGTATGCCTTTAAAGCGTAAAGATATATAAAAATTTTAATTTTCGATTTTTTTTGCGATTACTATAACGGGAAGTTAAAAATGTCATTTGTCACGTTTTTTTTTTAATTTAAAGCTTTTAAAAATATTGAATTACGATACAGGAAATTCCAGCAATTTGCCTTAAGGCATGATGCTGTGCACCACTAGTTATACTTTTGTTTAAAGTATAGAAAATGTGTAGGATATTTTTTTAATTGTTTCAATTGTTATTCGAATTTGAACTTTTGGAAGCCACAATATACAAAAGCTTTTTATCTTATCTCTATAGTTTATTTATATAAGTTCATAATCAGTCATAAGCATCCAATATATATGCCAATGCATTATACTGGGTGTGAGCCGATGCTCTAAAGCCCATAGCATTGTCCTGCTGCTGCAGCGTTTGTTAAGTCGAGTGTTAAATCAAAGTAGTTGGTTTCAGCTTGTGTGCAAGAGAAGACGTTTTATTACAGAAATTTGAACTTAAGTGAATGTATTTAAGTACTGTAGAACGAGAATTCTGTTCTTCTGATGTAATATTATGTGAAGTGGTGTGAGGTGACGAATGTTAAATACATAGCGTCGTTTTTAATTGTTCAAGGAAAAAACATTTTTTCATATAATGTAATAGAAGCATGTCCGGTATATTTGGATATTCAAACGGATTTGGTCGCAGAGTAACCGCTCATGGATCGGAGCTGAGTCCATTCTGGTTTGTTATTGTTATTAGTTGATTTATATATATACACACACACACACACATATATATATATATATATATATATATATATATATATATATATATATATATATATATATAGAGTCGAGTCTGGATGCTCGGTATGGGCGTGTTTCTCGTCTCACAATTATGTATTTTATAACTTTTAGTCAAATTAGTTTCAAATCTTTTAGTTATTCATAATTTTTTCTAAAAAAATGTTTTTCTCTAATATGTTATTAAGTTTAATTTTTAAAATAAATTTTTGTTGAGTGTTTTTGTCCTGTGTTGCTGAATGATGACACGCATCTTGTGTCGAAACGTATAAATAAAAGTATTTACACTTTATACCTTTTTTATTTCGACGAATGGGCTGCTAGTTACTTTGAAATATGTTTCAACGTCGAAAAAACTATCAAGATATATATATATATATAAAAGGTAAATCAGTGATTTCATTCATTTTCGCACATAATAACCTACCGAGAATATTTATTTTACCTCCTGCAATAGCGAGTAAATCTATTACACAGAAAGTAGAAAAATATGATGCATGGTGTAAGTTATTTGTTTATTTTATACTGGCTACTCATTAAATTATCATAAAAATTCTAAATCTATTTTTATGGTTTTTATTTTATCTTACATTAAATATATTTTTAAGTACAATATTTTGTTTGTTTACCAAACTTTCAATTATGAACATTTGCCTTGTGTCTGTAATCTAACAAATCATTTGGGGTGGCATTTGTATGTTCACATACAAAATCCAAACTGTTCTTATATCTCTATAATAAGTATAATTTTGGAAAAACGAGTATAAGAGCGCCCCGCATGGTACGGACTATGGCCGAAAATATTCCCTTAATTTCTCATTGTTTCTCATTGTTTGATATTCAGTGTCATCTCCAATACATTACAATATTATATCAAAATCCAAAATATTTCGCAAATACTTCTAATATGTTTTATTATGCCTACACGTTATTATATATATATATATATATATATATATATATATATATATATATATATATATATATGTATATATAATGTAAATCAGTGATTTCATTCGAGAATATTTATTTTACCTCCTGCAAGAGCGAGTAAATCTATTACACAGAAAGTAGAAAAATATGATGCGTGGTGAAGTTATTTGTTTATTTCATACTGTCTACTCATTAAATTACTATATATAATATAGAATATGAATATATAATATGGCGTTGTTTGTAATTTCACATGGTGCCTTTAAAAGTATTTTACGTAAAAGATATTAACGATATTGTAATTTGAATATTTTTTATAAAATAAAGCAAATGTGCCTCAATATAATATAAAAACTTAATGTTCATAAAGCTGTATACATAAATGTTACGTCTAAGTTTATTTGCACGCGTAAATTCTTGTTTTACTCTAAATCATATATTTTATTCTAAATTGAATTGTGTTTTTGCCATTGCTATTGCTTTTTTGTGCTCGTTTTATACTCGGCCTATTTTTATTATAATAAACCATTTAATTGCAATTTTATTTATAAGTGCTGTCAACAAGATATTCGGCTTACACATGCTTTTAACTGTAAAATGTAATCTTCCAATGTTATCTATTTTCATTGAGTCAGCATTTAGATGTGATATTTGTTATGACAACGTGCGATAATTTTCTAATAATTATTCCAACTTAACGATTAGAAAAATATATTAATACCATATTATGATGCACATATTACAGGACAATAAAAATATATTTAATATCCAATTTCTCGGTAATAGCATGCTTTTTTTATATTCGTACATTACCGTTCTCAAATAGTTAATGTTGGTTACCAAATTATATTTCGGGTATAGCATAGAATACCTGTATTTTTAACAAGAAGTTATGAACTATATTATAATATTTTAATTGCTAATTATAGCAAGTCAGACAAGTTATATTGATGTATTCTATACATAAAGGTGTTTATAACGAGGACTGGATATTGTTTAACGAAAAGTATCCATGCATGCTTAATATTTCTGTTTAACATTTTGAAGTGTAATACTCTAAGTAACATAATTAATGCATATTTTTTATTTTGTAATTATCTGCTATTTTAGGATGCTCTTCGGATTTAGGTGAAAAATGTTAATTAAATTGCATAAAGTATTTGTTCTGAACTTTTGTAGAATTTTATAAACATAACTAGCGTGTGATTTAGTTGTTGAGTTGAGTAAAGATTTTTTGTTACTGTTAAGATGGGTTATTGATTTGAATTGATGCTCTGTTTTTTTTAAATATTTTTTATAAAATATGCAAGTTTCCAACGAATTGTACTTTGTTTGTTAAATATTTCAATATGTGTATTCAAAATTTCAGTTTTCTGCAGTACAGGTAGCAATTTTTTTTACCTGTAATTTTCCTATAGATGGATATTTATTTAATTCTCGGTATTTAAGTTATCATGTGTCAAGTCGGTGTTTGTTCATACCTGGTTAAATCATGTTTTATAACTGTACAATAACAAGCAATTTCGGTGAAACTGCATTTTGATATTGAAACGTATTTTATCTTGTAGTAATGTCATCATACATATAAGTTTTCATCGAATTTATATTATTTAAAAGCAGTTCGATATTTAAAATTGATTTTCGTTGTTGTATTTAATATTCCATTCTTTATTAGTTATTATTATTACTATTATTCAGGGCCGGTCCTGGGGTCCTTAGCGCCCGCATGCAACTTTTTTTCTAGCGAGACCCCCCCCCACCCCCTATTAATTTTCACCGTTTTAACAGTTTATCATTAAAATTATATAAATATTTTTTAAAAATTGATTTTTAGTTATTTTGAATTTAGTACACAAAATATTAGATATAATCTAGAAGGGTAAAAATATATTGATTTTAAATTTATTTATTATTATCGATATCAATAAATAAAACAATCCCTGTCATAATTTCACATTTTAGTAATATTCAATATGTAGTAAATTGGTTAAGGATGTAAGTTCGACTACCATAGCAAAAGAATTAATATTTTTGTTAGATTAAAGTTATAGAATTTAAGAAATGCATTTCAGAAATAGTATTTATTATTTTGATATAAAGATCTTGATATCAAAATAATAAATACTATTTCTGAAATGCATTTCTTAAATTCTATAACTTTAATTTAACAAAAATAATAAGTGAAATAAATAAATTAATTTTTAATTATTCTGGATTTAGTTAATGGCATTAACTATTTGAGACTACTTATTCAGACGGGCGAACTAAAAAATCAATAAAAAGATGTCTGCATATTAGTAAAACCTATTATAAATACATACCTATTATATAATATAAATCTATTTGAGGCCATTTTTAAAACGTTTTACTTGCCACGGACCACAGGTGGTTCACGGGTAGCATTCATTAGGCGGTGTGGACAACTGGCGGTGGTCCACGTCCATTGTTTATCATCCGGAGACGTTGGCTACCCTTTGTCCGCGAACGTTTATAATTTTTTAAATAATTATATATTTCGATTATTATTTATTATATACTTTATATTAACTAATTCACACAATCATTGAGACCTTAACGCTAATAACTGCAAAAATATACGTGATAACCCTTTTTGCTCAATAACACAAGGACTTATCATTCGCACGCATACATTCTTGTATTCCAGAATAATCAAACGTTTAAAATGTAACAGTATCAAAAAAGTTAGTTTTTGTTTCTTTATTTTTGTGATTTCAATAATTTACATTTTAAATTAATGTTTTTTTTTCAGCACGAGCCCTAGTCACTTAGAAAATGTCAGAGAATCTCATAGTTTAACTTTTACTTCACCTTTATCAAGTAAGTGCTTATTTGATATCTGTAAATATAATATGCATGTTGGTATTCCAAAAATAAAATGAGATGACAAATTTCTCAAACAGGAGGGTGTATCTAATTTTCAATTTTTGAGTTTATTTACTAGTTCCGAAAGCATGTTCATAGATTGTAGTAGAAAGCATACTAGTTTGTTTTTGATAGGTAAAAGACGTAAATTCGGCAATTTGCTATTAGTGTGAAAATTGTATTCGGCTATATAACGATTTATATAAGATATTAAAGCCCGAATTGTAGAGGATTATAATCGAATGTTTATATATATATAATATATTATAAGTTTTAATAATGATTAACAATTTATATTTAATTTTATGTATTAATTATCAAACGATAATTATACTTTAGCAAATTGAAACATTCGAATTTGGAATTAGTATACAATGAACCCTAGTAGAAACCCCAGCGAACTATTCGACTAACATGTTTTCACAAAGCTAGAAATTTTTTAAATGATTTTATTATCTGTTCATTAAGATAGTAACATTCTGGTAGACATCTGGCGGTTGCGTCATCATCCCTTAAATTTTTAAAAATGTAAAAACAAGGTTTTTATAACCTGCTCCAAAATGGGTCAATTTTTAGGGCGTATTCGTTTAACTGTTCAAAGGTATATGTAAACAGCCAGAACATTCTGACGGTTACAAGGGTCTGCCAGTCTAGTATAAAATAGTCACGACGCACAAGGGTATGGGCACATTGCCATACATAATCGGCCCCATCCTGGTATTTAAATAAATAATTTATACGCCATTTTGAAGGTCTTCTTGAAAAAATCCGATATATCAATCTTCAATATTGTACCTCACCTTATGGCCGAGATACCAGTGAAAATATGCCAAATTGTCCCCCTTTTCAAACTCACTTTTTGGCATAACCATAACAGATATCGAAAAAGAAATTAATTGATTCCACACACATTGGATTAGACCATATAATGTAGAACAATTTATGCCAAATAATCATTTATTATTAGCTAAAAACGATAAAAAGAAATCAATTCATGTTTTCGGGTAGTGCGTTTAGTTCGACTACTTTCTTATTAGCATTATTCGAAAGTCTATTGTTTTTTTTGCTGCAAATATTGTTTAAATCAAATTTGTGGAACACATTGAGAAATTTTCGAAATTCCGATTTGCTTCGCGTCCGAACGGATTCTATGCGGGGTAGTATTAGCATTATTTAAAATATCATTTAAAAAAATTCTAGCTTTGTGAAAACAGGTTACTCGAATAGTTCGCTGGCCGTTAGGCTATAAGCGAAGTACAAAACGATCGAGTAATTAATTTGAACTTGTGCACATTATACCTAACTTAGTTTTAAACGCTTATATTTAAAGTTATTTATTGTAGGATATTTCGAGAAGAAAAACGCTATCCTGTAGATTTTCATTTGATGATTGTATTTAGTAAAAGTCGCCAAAAAATGTGACCTCAACACCAGATTTCCAGTTTCATCGAATAGAATTTTTATTATCTCCACATATCTAATATAAATTAAATAATAATTAATTAATTCGTTGCTTTATTCATCTATGCTACTTCATTTAACTCAACCATGAACCACAATTGGTTCAAAATCCTTAAACTTTGACTTGCGATAAGAACACCGTAGATATTCAAATGAATTGATATGAAAAATCGTATTAATTATTAAAACTCACGAAGGGCGTATATATTACAAATTATGACTATTTCCTGAATATATTTATTTTTTTATTCCTTGGCGTACTTATCAATGTCTCAAATGATTATGCTGTAACGCTTAAAATTGATAAATTCAGTTTTCAAACGCAAGGTCAGAATAATATTTAGTGATACTATACAAATATAAAACACATGATATTTATGGAAACCATGTGTCTTCTAGATCGAAATCAGTTCATAAAACAAAATAACATCATGACACGAAAAACATTTTTATAACCTTTTACCCAATTTTATAAACCTGATGTACATCATATTGGAGGCCTTCAATGGATTAAAAATTTATAGTATCTCATTGAAATAGTAAAAAGTTGAGATTTAATTATAAAAACCGATCAAAATGGCTACTGGCAATAATTCACTAATGGAAGAAGAAATAGCTCTCATGCAACAATATCTTAATGGTGAGAAATACTTGTTTATTTTTAATTTACAATTACATATGTTGGGTCAAGTAAAAAGTTCATATCGTTTATTTAGTGAAACTCAACAAATTTTTTATGGGGTGAAAATAAATTTATTCAAACTAAATATGCTTCATTAATATCGACAATGTTTCGCCATTATTCGAGAGGAGCCATGATGCCATCGGTGAAAAACTTCTGTGGTTTCTGGTTGAAATACTGAATCGAGCGCTTTTTACAAGCTCTTTTTGAAATCAGTTTAATTCTATAAGATAGTTTTGCAGAGATCGGATCGGAACAAATGTTCGGAACAAAAATTTCTCAACTAACTTTTGGCAGATCATCAAATAAGTGTATGGTCGGGCTTTGTCATGATGGAAGACAATATCTTCAATTAAGGCCGTTTTTTCTAATTGTCTGGCGTAATCTCTTTATTTATTTAAAGTAGGATTGATAATTAATGGTCTGATCAACTGGAAGTAGCTCACGAATAACAATTATCTTCCAATCCCACCACAAACACAGCATCACCTTTTCCAGTGTCATTCCTCACTTGTAAACGTTTGTCGTTGCTCATCATAACTAAACTATGGTTTATTTCGCCTTCGATTGTTGTATACTTTTTCTTATCAGTTATGAAATGTTTCAGAAATGGTTCGATTTGAAAGTCCCACACATCGAGCTTCCTTCTGTACTTAGCTTTATGTAATTGGTTAAAAACAGTTTCCTGATCAATTGCTAGTTCCCTCCTAATATCGGCAAAGAGCTGATTTACTTATTTTGCTCTACTTTTTTTCACAAGCCTACGCAGCGCTCTTCCCTCTATCATAATAATATTGCAAAATATAGCGATTTTTTACATTAGTTTTCTCCATTTTCAAACACAAATAACTTTTGAACTACATCACACATTTTTTCGATTATACCATCAAAATAATGCTCGAAGTGTCACCTTTCACTTGTAATAATGCACTTCATGAATTATTTGTAACTAAAGCCGTCTATCACGGAAAACGAAACGATTTTTTTTTTACTTTACCCAATATTATATGTGTTAAAGCACGTCAAAAAGTTTCGAAACTTATAAATATACTGCGTGTGCGTGATATTTTGCTGTAGGGCAAGTTGCACCAACCTATTAAAGGCGAACCATATTTAATTTAAATTTAGTGGAATCATCGTGCAAAGGCTTGATAAACGCGATGAAACTAGTGCAAACGATACCTGATTTAAACATTTTCAATCGAACTCGTACGCTCTACCGAAAAAAAGACCTAAATTTGCCCGAACAGTTGGTCATATTAGTAGAGAAAAATACTCACAGAGGAGAAAACGCTCGCGTTGAATAGCACTTATTGCTTGTTGTGAAAAAGAAAATATCATTTAACATGTATTATTTTATAAGAAAATTTAATAAATATATGTTTATTCATTATGAAATTATAATAAGTAGCATGTTTTTTGAATTTTCTGGGAACCATGCTCCAGGGGCTCAAATGCCTCCAAACTAATAAAAACAAATAATCTGGAAGCTCTTAATATTAACTCTATATAATAACAAACTAATATTAACAAAATCCGTACTCCAACCAAAATTTATTTAGAAATCTAGATATATTTAAGAAATATAGATATATAAGTATTTTATTTTATTAATGATATAATTTTCTTTGTAGATCAGCTGGGTTTGCGAGCGAAGGATAATTCCGATTTAACTCGCGGATCTATGCGAGAGCAGGAGGAACAGCTGAATATATTGCGTAAAGAAAATTTTAATTTGAAATTGCGTGTATATTTTCTAGAGGAACAAAAATCGGAGAACACCAGTTATGAAGCATGCAACAAGCAAAATATTGAACTTAAGGTAATTATTTTTTTTAAAAGTAACTTTAATCCATTCAAATCTCTTCAAAACTATTGATTAAACTATTTGATTCGAGTTAAAATCATTGCAGCAGAACTTGATGTTAAATGGTTTATTTTAATTTTTAAACCTTTCGACTCGAATGCGGCAAATTACGTATTAGCTATGCAATTCGCGTGTGGAAAAGAAAAACTTTAATATAATTCATAATTTCATAATTTCTGAAAAGGGTAGACTGTTTCACCAAAAATTAGGTTGCACCGAACTTGCGCGATTTAAGTGTTTTTATTGCTTTGAGCAGCTAGTTTTACTATGGACCTAAACAAAGTCAATCTTATAGCCGCCCGACTTCATAAAACTCAAATGCATTCAAAGTTTCATGGTAGAGTGCATTTACCTTAAGTAGTACAAGGGATTGGTGAATAAATTACGGTTTACTAACATCCGATCGTCATTATTCGTTCCAATGAAAAAATGATATTGAGGCATGTCAGGACCATATAACACATAAACTCCTTTATTACTTCCTATGCAACTTTTTTGTTATTAATACTGCATATTGCACTCTCATGATGATGATAAACGTAGCGTAATCATAGATTTTAAAAATATGCATATTCGATTTTAATAAATTTTTAATTATTTTATATGAATATTTTAAAATTTTATTTCTTCACTGTCTAAAGTTTAGACTCTAAACAAATGGATTTTAGAAGTTTATCCAGGATTTTAAAACGATCTCGTTATCCTTTAATTTTAAACGGTTTTTGAAAATCTGATTTTCCAAAAATTTAATTTTTTCACAATGTCAAAATAACTTCTATATTATCAAAGACCATTTTTTCAAATGATTTTTTTTGCAAACAAAAAAATCTTAAATGTTTTGCAGATTCCGATTTTCAATTTATTAATTAATTATATTTAACTTCCCGAAGGAGAAGTTTATGTTTTCGTCAAAAAATCCGATTCTCTAATTTTATATTTTCTCAACGTTTTAAGCCATTCTGAATCGAATGAGACCAAATTTGGAAAAAGTATGTGTGTATGCGTGTGCGTGTGCGTGTGCGTGAACAGATTTTTTGCTATGAATCGACGTTTTCTCAAAAAACGGCTGAACCGATTTCAAAAATTTAAAAGCCATTCGATGTATCTCGATGAGGACTATCGTTTATCACTTGTGTGCGACGATCGGCTTAACTAAATTGTTTTTCGGCGATTTTCACGATTTTTTTTTGGTGATAGATATCATGGTCTTCTAGATCATACTAAAATATTACGGCCCTACGACAAGCCGTTTAATTTTAAAAATTTGTCAAAATTTGCAAAAATTAATATCGTTTTTTTGGCATTTGTTAAAATTAAAACTTTCATCGACGTTTGCTCAAAAACGCCTGAACTGATTTCAGAAATTTAAAAGCCATTTGATGTATCTCAATGAGGGCTATCGTTTGTCAGTTGTGTGCGACGATCGGCCGAGCCGTTTCTTTGTAATTTGGAAAAAAGTGTTAAACTTTTCGTTCACATTTAAGTTCATACTACCGAATCGATTTTAAAAAATCAAAAACTGTTCGATAGATATTAGATGGGAATGACACTGATTAGTTTTAGGTGAAAATATACCGAGCCGCTTGTAATTAACTGTTGAAAAAAAAAAAATTAAGCCGATTTTTATGGAACTTTTTTGGCAATATATATCATGGTCTTATAGAATTTACTGAAATATTACGGCCTTACGACAAGTAGTTTAATTTTTAAAATTCATCGAAGTTTGAGAAAAATAGTTTTTTTTTGACGTTTGTTAAAATTAAAATTATACGATTTACTTCGTATAACCATAGAGTACTTGGTCTTAATCAACATACTAAACCATTAAAGTCCTACGGAAACTAGTTCAATTATAAAAATTGTTGATTTTTGAAAATACTCTGAGTTAACGTGTTTGTTCGTTTTCATGTTAGGTGTGATAAATCCACTCGGAATACATTTATTCACTCATAAATTATTTTTTATTGATTAAGTCGATTATTTACACATATTTGGAAGTTCATGTAACTTGCCTCAAGGCAAAATACCAATACCTATTAGTTATGTAATCAATTTACAATTTTGATTAAAACTTGGTTAATTTGCTTACCTTCATTTTTGTTATAGATTGAAATAGAGACTTTGAAAGACGAAATTGATGAAAAACAAAAAATATTAGAACAAGCAGCACAAGCGATTGAGGCAATGGAAGAGAATCAAACAGAAATGAAAACTAAATTTGATGAGAAGGTTCAAGAACTTCAAAATAAGATTTCTGATTTGGAGGTGAATAAAATCATTTCATTCAATACATATAAAATTAAATTTCTATTTATAATAGTATTTTCTTATAATTTTAGGATGGCCAAAGATCTAGTGGTTATTGTAACAGTTGTAACAGTGATTGTAAAGAAGTTGAGAATAATATTCCTAGTACTATAAATTCAGTAAGATCCTGCAGTTCGTCATTTGAATTACGAGATGACATGTTTAAGAAACAGAACATAGTGTCTGATTTAGAGAATAAGGTAATAGTATAGTGTTTTTTGTAACCTTAACATAATTACCAGTTGATGGATTTCGCTGCTTGCTATCATAGTTGCTTCATGTCAAATAATCTGCTAAAATGCGATCCATGTTTATTGAATTTTGATATAATTTTCTAAATGATTTGCCCTTACTACTTGTTATACTATCTAATATTTTATTGTATAATCTTAATAAATCATAATTATTATAAGCTAAAACTCCCTGGTGTAGAAATTCAAGAAAATTGTTTTTTTTTTATTACATATTTTTCCAATTTAGAAAATATGTGTACAAGAAGATTTCTTAAAATTTAAATTATTTTCTTCCTCTTCTGTTTCTCTCCTTTTTTCTTTTTCAATAAGATTTCCACGTTTTCTCGGACTTTACTGAACCGATTCATTTGAAATTTTCAGACAATCTACTTTATGGTCTTGTATTTAGCTTATACTAGCCTCATCCCTAAATTTAAATTTTTGCTATATTTTTTTTATGTGAAACTCAAAATGTGGTGAGAAAAATGATGCTTTTTTTCAGTCGCCATTATGTCAAAAAATTTTTTTTTAACTTAGTCCTAGTATATGTCATGGCGACATCATTCTAGATTAATAATTCTTTTTTTCATTTAGGACTGCTAGGAAGGCTGCAATATCAACAAACGCTAATTTTTTAAATTTTTTTTTTTTTTTACTTTTTTGTGTACTTTTGTAACATTGGTAAATAAATTATAGAAAAATGATAGTAAAAAAATTGATTGCTTTTTTTACAATGTTTTAAATGATCTAAATGAAAATTTAGATATAAATGAAATAAAAGTTAAGTCTCTACACTAAAATACCCCTTATGCTGATTTAATGACCCATATTAATTTTATTAAGGATACAAATATAGAATTTAAATATTAAGTAGAATTGATTATTTTTGGGTTCCATATGGATCATATAATTACACTTTATTTATTACAATACTGTATTTTAAAAATATTTATAATACTTTTTATTGCTATTTTGAATTAGCATTAATATTGAATTATATTTATCTTTCTTTTTTTATTACTATCAAGAATGTTATAGTTCAATAAATTACACTACAAAAATATATTGTAGCTTAGTAAAAAAAAAAAAAATATGTGATGATAATCTGTTTTCTATATACAGTTTAATTAGTTGTGAATCTTGAGAAATTATTATTCTGTCACATAAATTCATAATTTCATGTTTTCATATTTTTAGATTATGGATTTACAAGCAGATTTGATGAAACGCGATGGAGTAATAGCTGACATTAGGAATAAGTTAGATTCTCAAATTGGAATTTCAAATAATTTGGAATTACTTTTGGAGCAAAATGGAATGACTATAGCCGAATTACAGCTGAAAGTTTCAAGTTACAAGTCACAAATTTGTGAACTGGAAGAATGCTTGGATCTTAAGGATAATGAATTAAAGACAGTTCAACAAAAGTTAAATACCATCCAGCATGGAGAACCCAATCTTGTAGAAAACCGTGCTAATGATTTTAATAGAGTAAGGAATTCTTCTTAAAATATTTGCCTAAAATTAAATGTGAGATATTATTAAGTATCACAATGCATGTTTATTCTTTTTTTTTCAGTAAATTTCAGTAAACTGAAATATAAATAGTAGTTAATTGAACTGTGGTAAATAATAGATAAATTAATATTTATCTAATAAAATAGTTGCATTAAAATTAGTTTTGCTACATGTGAAATAAGTGTGCTTTACAAAGGAAATTATCAACACAATACTAGCTATCATTTTTTATTGTTTAGATACAAGAAATCATGCATTTGAATGAGTTGGTTGCAAAACGAGATTCTATAATTAAAAAACACGAAGAAGCTCATAGATGTGCTTGCAAAGTTATACAGTCATTCATGCAAAAAAATAAGGAGATGAGCAGAGAGCTGGACACATTAAAGAGAACACAGGTATAATACCAAATTAATGTACATTTTTATATTGAATATATAATGTTATTAGTCTTAGTTATTTTTCTTATATCTTTACAGTTTGAACGAAAAAATTCAGATAAAAAATATATTTCTTTTTTAATTTATTGCAAAAATTATGTTACAATATTTTTATCTTATGTGATGGCAATAGTTCATTCAATATTAAAAAAAATTCCAAGTAAAATTGAAATGATTAGTTGATATAGTATTATAACTGGAAATTTTTATTTTGTTTTTAATTGCAAGAGCTAATTTTAGTTTGGACTATCCTACTTAATGTTAATAAGGTGGGATTTGTTAACTTTAAATTTTAAGAATGTATTTCTGTATTTAATTATTTTTTACAATTTCTATATTTTAATAGTTTTCAATTTTTATTTAGCCCCATATGTCAGCTACTACAGCATCTGAATCAGAAAACTCAAGTGGTCAGTCACAAACTTTCTCAAACTTTTGTAAACATGGCAAAAACACTAATTCACCATATCTTTCTGAAGATGCTCGTCATGAAAGAGAGGTAAATTTTGTTTATCTAACTTTGCAATTTTATTTTTAAATTACATTCAAAATATATCTTTGAGTTTTGAAATGTTTATTTAATGTTACTTGCATTTAATGTTTTTATGATATTGTACTTTAGGTTTCTTTCGATCTATATTCCTATTATATGCCATTAATTATGATACTAAATTTATCCCTTACACAATACTCGAATCAAATTTACAATGAAACATATTTTCTCTCAAGTGTCTTCCTTAATTTAATGAAACAGTTTAATTTATGCTAAATTGTCTGCATCATGTAGAGTAATTTCATAAATTAAGTTATATATTTTATGTAAGTAATAATTACATACATAATAATAATTACATCTTTTTTAATTTGTGTGGTGTGTAACATTAGAGATTTTTGTAACATAAAAAAGTCATTTAACTATTTATCAAAATATAAGATCAACTTTCAACTAGTAGGAGATAATCTAATTGATTCTGAAATAAAACAAAAATACAAGTTTCTTTACTATTTATTTGTTATTTTAAACTTGAAGTTATTTAAAATGTATATGTAATATAAAAATATTTAATTACATTTATTACAGAAAATACTTGATAAATTAGCTTATATTTTATATCTGAAGTATTTTTTAAATAGTAAACTTATACCTTGTATAAGTTTCTATTCAAATTTTTACTTCCAGTTTTGGTGGAGGCTGCTGAGTGATATGATGATTGTGCCAACAAGCACTTTTTACCAGAAAATGTTCCAATTCTCTCCAAAAAAACGTTCCTAAAATTTTTATCGTTTGTCACATGTATTTAGAAATATATATTTTGTTGTTTTTTGTTTACAGAAATATAGATATGTGTATATAAAATCGACCATCAATGAGTGTTTCAGTTTTTATAAATATCTTAGTGTCAAATTGATCTGAAAATGCATGCAGACCAAAATCAATATTCCTTTTTTTTAAAAAAATTAAATGTTCAAGCACAGTTTATTTAAATAAAAAACATTATGTTGCTGTTTGCTAGATTTGTTAGTTCGCTATATAATAATGTAACTTTTTTTTTTTCAAAATTTTAATACATTGAATAAAAACACCATCATCAGCCTAATCACACACACTATTCAATAGGCAATTTTTTTGTTAATTTAAATATATATATATATATATATATATATATATATTATTTTAATTTTTAATTAATTTAATAAAATGATTCTCAGATGTAATTGCATTTGAGATTGCTGTGTTCTAAGACAGGCTATTTAGTTTAGACATAAAAACTTTGTGTATATCAATGTTTTAGAATTGTTTTTCTTTTGTTTTATAGATAGATATAGAGCTTCTTGAAAGCTTTTATAAAAAGTGCTTATCCAAGGGTGATTCTAAATCAACAACTAAGTCTGCTAATTCGAATCCACTGATGACTAAGAGCGGCGTAGAACAAAACTTGGATACTGTATGTAGTTATTTTAAGCTAAATATCTGTTTAAACAAATTTTAAATTTGAGGATGTTTTCTCTGTAGGATGGTGGTTTATCGCTGCATGTTGAATTAGTTCAAGAAAATAAAAAATTATTAAGACAAATTGAAGAACTTCGAAATGAAATTAGGTTTGTATATTTTATAATGATTTATTGTTTTAAATACCTGCTTAAAAGTAATTTTGCATTGTTCTGTATTGAAATTAGTATATAAATAGTTCTAATCTTTTATTGTGATTGTTACGTTATATTTCATATACACTGTTCTAGCAAAATGGATGATTATATAGTATTTCATTTTGAATATTATCCTAAAGGAATAACGTTTTGAACAGAATAGCCATCACATCAAAATATTTGCTCTGATGCAAGTCTGTTTTTGCAATTCCACTAAAAAATATTTCAAAATTTCTTGCCTTCCATATTTACATATTATAAGTAACATCACTTTGGAAATAAAAATCAGTTGTATTAGGTTTGTGTTAGTGATGACATCTTAAAAACTGTTCAGCCAAGTGAGTTAGTGAATATTAGCCAAATACGTATATAATCATTTATTTTGAAAAACTACTAACTAACTAAAATAAGTATGTTAATTATTTTAAAATTTTTGTTCTATTAAAATTTCTCAAATGACAGCTATTTTCAAATAAGAATATAGATTTAATTAATTCAGTTACTAAAAGTATAATTAAACAGAACTAAATTATTAAACATACTAGTTTTAATTAAAAATCTTTTTGCTGATGTCTCTGATACTTTAATGAATTAAAATGAATCTCAAGTTTGATTCCATTTTGTTATATTCATGTAATTTGCCTCACTTATAAGTATTGTTTTCACATAGCTTTTTTTTAGTTTTCAATTTTGATATCGCTTTTTGTTTTATCAATTTTAAAAAGTAAAAAGTCTTTAATAATTGAATATTGTAAAGTCAATTACATTTTAGAGCAAATACATTCAAAACTATTTACTTGTAGCTCATGATTAATTATGATGAAATTTTTATCCTAATATTTTAGAAAAAAGAAAAGTTTGATCTTATTTTTTTTTTTAATTCTTGTTTCATTTATTTTAGTTTTTTCTGCATTTATTAACATTATTTTTATCGGTAATACATGAGTAATTTCTAATGCATGTAATAACTAATCATTCAATTATAAAGTATATATTCACTTATATGTCTTTTAATTTTATAATCTTATTTACTAATTAATAATATGTTTCAATTCGACAGAAATGTACCAGAGAAGGAAAATAATGACACAATAAAACAATTACATGAAGAACTTGCTCAATGTAAAAATGAATATGATAGTGTAAAAGCTGAATTAAAAACTTTGCAAATTAGTTCAGAAAATGTCAATGTAGACAATACTCATTGGCAAGATATTTGTTTGACATTGAAGGGACATCTGGAAGAGCTAGCTGGTTTTTTGAAATCACTTCTTAGATCTGATTTGAATTTAAGTCTTCCTGATGATAAGTTCGAAAAGATCAAGCTGGCAGTTGATAAGAGTTTAGATCTATCCAGATCAGTTAGTTTATCGGTGTCTGGAATTATGAAAGAAGGCAATAGTTTAGCCCAGTTAAGTTCTTTGACAGCATACTTAGACACAAGTGCCCTTAGTGGCATAGAAAGGTTAAGTGGAGAATCAACTAACGATAATATTATATTAGATCAAGCAGAGACTATAAGTCATCTGAAAAACACAATAGTTGATTTAAAGAAACAACTTAACAATAGGCATTCTTTCAAATTTAAGTCAGATACCCGACCCAATCAAGAGTCATCAGAATCTGAAGCTTGGTCAGAACCAGATAGAAATATTTCATTTTCAAGAATGGGATTAAAAGAACCGGCGTCCACATCACCAAGTACTTCACCAAGGCGTAAATCTAATTCTTTTAAAGCTAACCAAAAAATTTTCAGTCGAAAACTTGCCATGGAGGAATCACATCAAGATGTGGCCGCATTACAAAATACTATCAAATTATTAGAGGGTCGTATTGCTGAAAATGATAAGAAGCTCTTAGAACGTGAATGTGATATGCTAAAAGCAGATAATGAATTCAGCCATGAAAAGCTTAAATTTGCTTCAGAATTGGAGGATTATAAACTTCAAAAACTTCAATGTGATAATACGTTGAAAGAGACACTTCACAAATTATCAGCATCAGAAGCGAACATTGTCGTATTGAGAGAACAGATTCATCAGATGTGTAAAACTTTATCTCAATCTGAAATGAACAACAAAGAGAAAGAACTTAAGTTTGCTCTGTTTGATGACCAGATAAACACAATGAAATCTGAAATGGAAATTAAAGATGCTGATTTACGATTTGCTGAAGAAAATTTAAGATGTTTACAACATGATATGAAAGATTTATCTGATAGGTTCACTAAACTTAAAGATGAAAATGAGAAATTGACATTGGCATTTAAGGAAAGCCTTCAAGTCAACGAAGAATTTTGCATGCAAATCAAGTCTCTCACAAAAGAAAAGAATGATTATGTTGAAAGTCATCTGAATGAAGTTGGTAGTTTAAAGAAAAAGTTTGATGATGATATTTCAAAGAACTGGGTAGCAAAAATAGATTATGAGTCCAAATGTGATGAAGTAGAAGCTGTACTTATTTTATTAGGAGAAAAGGAAACAGAACTTATACATCAGCAAACAGAAGAACAAGAAAAATTGAGGCAGCTTAAAACTGAATATCAAATGCAAATAGACGAAATGAAATGTAAAGAAGCTGATTTGCTTCAAAAGCTTCTTGAGAAAGAGGCTGATTATAAGACTTTATGCCACAATGTGGATCAGTTAACTGTGCAAATGTCAGAAGCGACTATTGATAAATCAAAGGCATCCAAAGAAAAAATGCAGTTAGAAAAACAATTATCCTTACTTAAGTCTCATTATGAAAAGAAAGTGAGAGAAATGCAATTAAAAATAAGTGAATTAGAAAAGGAATCTGCAGAAAATAAAAATAAATTAATTACACTACAAACATCCAACAAACGATTACTTGAACCATTTTGTGGCACTTCTAATGAGAATTCTTCAGATGAAGGAGCACATGATGACAGACTTGGTGTTTCATCACCTGATCTAGGAATTGATAGCGACCAAGGCAATATGTCAAATAACGAACTAATTTCTATTGAAAGGCCTCTTTTGAAAACCTTAGAACTGACAAAGTCGATGACAAATATCTTAGATTTTCATAAGCATGGTATGTATATTTAGATCTGTTTCATACATATATACACATAAATTGCATTTTACATTTTATTTTTTTTTAAATTATTTATTCATATATCTAACTAACCTTTTATGAACTAATATTAATGATGCAATTTTTATTTCCTTAGATCAAGATGAAGACAAAGTCAAGATTCTGGAACAGGAAAATATCGCTTTGCGCAAAAAAATTGTAAAAATGCGACACACTTTGCAGGAGGCTCTAGGCCAGATTGTTGCAGCTAACAAGAAAAAGCGGCAAGTTGAAAAGGACATCGCCGAGCAGTTGTGCAAAACTCATGGTGTACTCCGGCAAGTTAGAACTAACCTTGAATCAAATGCCAATAAGTGAATTGAAATATTATTGTTTTTAACTGTATATAATTGCGTGTGTGCTTGGTTATTAGGACATTACCTGAATTATGATTGTGTGTTTAAACTTGGTTATTAGGACATTACCTGAATTATGAGTGTGTGTTTATAAAAAAATTTTATTATGTGTAAATATATATCAAGTGTATAATAAATTTTTTATGGAAGCATTTAACTATTTTCTTTCATGGATTTTAACTATCTTCATTATATTTTATTACATCTGAACAGTTTTATTTTATGTGTAGTTTTATAAATATATTATTCAATACAATTTTGATGTTAAGAAACTGAATTTTTTGCAACTGAAGTTTTATCTAGTAATTTTTTTTTTTTGGAAAAGTTGAAAACTATAAGTAAGCGCTTCAAATGGTTGATCTTATATATTCATTATAATATTATGTTATATTATTTATTATGTTTTTATTTTTATTTTATGATAGAATCTTGAATTCAATGCATTAAACTTGATTCCAAAAAATATTGGTGAGCTGTATTTTGTTTATACAGCTGCCAGGCATTTGATAATATTTAGCAAGAAAAAAAAAATTATAAAGTTATTTGCCACTTCCGCGAAATTGTAGTCGTATTTAACCAGCAGATTGTTTGAAGTCGCAATTAATTGTAAACATAAGCGCTTAAACCAATAAAGTCAGGTTTGCTCCCAACACATATTTTGGGTTCTTTATGTATCTAATTTACATGATGTTTTTATTCTCTAAAGCTTAACAACGGCAAAATTTGATGACTTTTTTAGTTTCAAACATCTTGTAAAATTAATGGAATATGAATTTATACTAAACAATGGCGTATTTATACTAAACAATTGGCATGTCAATGAAACGAAGACGGCCCATATGAGTGCCATATTATTCTCATTAAATAATTTTATACAAAGAGTTTATTTCAATGAAAGCCTGGTTTTCATAAAGCTTTGTAAAATATCTACACATTCATTGAGAATCGCGTATTTTGCAAAATATAAGCAATTTAAGATTAAATTGATAGAATTGAATTGGCTCACTAAACTACAAGATGAAGAGGTGATGCAATAAATCAAATGTCGGCCTTATCCAGCAAATGCAAAAATTAAAAGTGGGTACTTACGCACCATGATATGTTTCTAATAAAATCATGTACAATTATATCAAAATTCCGTTCGCAGCGAGTCTTTAAGGACAGTATCAACCATCGTGCGAAAATTGATTACATCACAGTCAAGAGAATTGCTTTCTATTACAATTACAATGTCCATTTCTTTCCTTTTATTGCTTCAATGTATATTTATTGTTTTTTCTAACAATCTGTTTTATACGTTCTGAGAGATTTATAATTTACTAAAAATGGAAGGACTTTACACATTGCGCATTACGCATTACAGGAACTAATTTCAGAAATAAGGTATGATCGAAAAAGCACAATATTTTAATTCGGTAATCGTAACTGATTTGATAATTGAATTTCAGGTGACCCGACTTTGGGAAATGAAAGTTTATAAATAGCTGTTGTTAGTGGAGGAACAAGATAATTATTTCAAGGTACATTGCGAAACAGAGATAGGGGATATTCATAAATTAATTACTTATAGTTAGCGTCCAAAGGAATTGATGTGCCAGGTGAAATTTCTTCAAATCAGAATAGGAAAAAATACAACAGGTAAAATATATTTTGCTCACTTCGAAAGTAATGTAAGTTTTTAATTAGAATATAAAAAATATAAAAGACACTTTCGGAAATATGCCGTTATTTTCTGAATGTAGACATGCTATTTTAAACTAACCGAAATCTTTCAGCACATTTTTAATCTGCATTAATAACTATAATGGACATGTTTAGCTAAATCAAATCTTTAGTTATATCAAATAATCAAAATGAACATTTTCGGCCTGAAGCAAAAATTAAAAGACGTTCAACTTAAATTGAATATAATTGCATTAACTGGGTTTTAAAATTGCGTTTGTGTCCGAATAAGACATATTATATTTCAATCAAAATATCCAGAACTGTCACTTCAAAATCGAAATAGAATCCTTAAAAATGCAAGTTTGGAAAATGAGAGTTGTATTTTGATTTTTTTTTTAAATTCACACAACATAAAGAATTTAAAATAATTAGCAAAAGTAACAACTTCGGTATTTACTGAAAAAATGTGATAACCTGAAAATTGTTAAATTTAAAATATTTTTTAGAGATTGAAATTATTTATCGATCAAAATTTATTAATCATATTTATTGATGGTGTAAAAACCTAGATCCCAATGTCCTTATATAATAAAATTTACTTTATTTATTTATTATTTTACTTAATTTATTATTACATATTATATTTTATTTTATTATAAGAATACTTATACGGACCATTACATCAGAGCAAATATAATTTACGCATCTATCTGTTGTCTTAATTAAAAACTTGAAATTTTTTTTATAAATCATTTTTTATTAATTAGGAAATTCCGTAGTTTTATATTTTTCAATATTTTTAAAATTTAAAATTTGAATTTTTTAAATATATTTAGTATGAAATGTTATGAAAATATTAATGTAATATTTAAAATTATTAGTTTTGTTAATGGCCCTATGAGTTGAATTTAACAAGAAAAATATAGGTACATAAATTGTTATTTCAATTTATGATACAACCGTTAATTAACTTTGAATTAACATTCATACATATAAAAGAAAAATATAACTATTAAAATACTGCCCGTTTTATAAGTTATTTGAAACAGGAAAAAATGGTTAATAAATTAAAATAGAAAACAAAAAATCTATTTTTGGTCGATTGTTATATTTAATTGTATAAGATAAAATTCGATCACATTCTTATCTTTCTTAATTTTTACTTTCATTTATGGTAAACTCCTAATTTTTATTTCATGCATTAATGCGGTATATTGGATTGTACGAGAACATCTTAAAATAATATTTTGTGGTGCTATGTTTTGAAATAAATTTAAAAACAAATCCAAAAATTTTTAACGTTAAAAAAATATGATTCTGGAGTTAAATTTTCGAAGAAACTTAAATGTTATTAGCTATTAGCTAGATTAGTTGTTTATTAATAATTTAATAAAATAATAATTTTAGAATTAGTTTCAAATTAATCTAAATAATTTTTCAAGAATTAAAGTTATGATCTTACGCTTGAAATCGTTTATTTTGAGATAGTTTTTTTTTTTTAAATTACAATGTTTATTACAACTGTTAAATAGTTAACATCTAGTTATATTGATAAATAATAACATAAATTTAAATAAATAAGAGAGCAAATGATAGAATTTACATGAAAATAATATCCGTAGTATGATGATTTAATATAATATAAAACCAAATAATAATAAAAATAAAATTAATAAATAATATAAATAAAATTTCTGAAAAATAAAATAATACTAGAAAAACAATAAAATATAACAAAGTAATAATAATAGATTACTTAATTTAATTTTACTCTTTTCGATAATAAAGTGATTTTAATACAAAAGTATGAACGTTTCCGGAAATATATAATATATTACACTTATTAAGTTTATAAAATACGGCACTTTGTCTGAAGCAAATATTGTGTTTTTTTGCAAAGGCTCTGAAATTGAACTGCAATATGGATTAATTGGATTTGACGATTGCGAGGTACCATTGAGGGAAGGATCAGAGCAAATCGCAATGTGCCGCATCACACCGCATTTATAGTATTCAATGAACAAAAATTTTTGCGCGTTGTTCGTGTCAGCTGATTTATTTTGCATGAGCACATTCGAGATGAAATATAAATCAATAATATCCGACCAGGTGTCTTCAATCGGCAAAGGGGGTAACATTATCGTTAGCTATCTGTACACGTTGGCGCCTGCGCAATGATTTTAGTAATATTTGTACCTATAGCTATATCTCATAATTGCTTTTTATTGCGTTAAAGTCATTATTATTGGACTTGAGCATAAAGACCAATTTTGCTCATGTGATTTTTCAATCATCTATGATGAGATATAGCATGAATATCAAAGCCGACTACTACCCTGATACAAGAAATCTATATATTTGTAGAAAAAATCCTTTTACTAATTTTTATAATAAAGTTAAATAAAAATATTTTTTTATAAATTTTAAATTCTCATAAGCTTTGTATCCAGAAATCACTCATTCAACTATTTACAGCAATTTAATTTATTTTAACTCTTTTCATAAAATATTTATACAAATAGATATTAAAACTTAAGCGCAAAATTGTCCAACATTCAGTATTAAGATAATACTATTTTCTGTTACATGTTACATATATATATATATATATATATATATATATATATATGTATATACATGGTCTGTTCAAAAAGTACCCGGAATTACTAATAATTAAATTTCGCGGGTCTGGAGTGTCTGATTGTCAAAATTTTTTTTTTATTGTGTTGGTATACATGCCCCTAAAGTATGATGAAATTTTCAGCTATATTCACTGTTTACTTTGTCTGTGGTAGTCGCTAAGGTTCGACGTGTTTTTCTGAGCTCGGCGATTTTTACAATGGAAGAATTGAAAAAGTCAAAGAATTTGTATTAAATTTTGCGTAAAAAATGAAATAAAGTGTTGCAAAGTGCAAAAATTCACCAGATATGGCTCCGTGTGACTTTTTCCTATTCCCAAAGTTGAAGAGACCCATGAAAGGACGGCGGTTTTCCTCGATTGAAGAAAATCGCCGAGAGTGCTCAAGGACATATCAAAAAGTGAATATCAAGGGTGCTTCGAAAATTGGAAAAAACGCTGGCATAAGTGTATTATATCTGGGGGGGACTACTTTGAAGGGGACCACATTAATGTAGACGAATAAATAAATATTTTTTTGAAAAAACGAAAATTACGAAAACTTTTTGAACAGACCTCGTATATATATATATGGATTAATAATGGTTTTATATGTTATTATGACACAAAATTAAAATACAAGTGTTTTATTATTATTATTATTATTATTGAAATTAATTAGATGAAATTTCTTACATATTATTTATTTAGTTTTAATTTTTATAGTTAAATTGATTACCACTGAATGAAGGCTAAGATGCTAGCCGAAACGTATGGATTTTAAATAAATAAATTTCTAAGAACTTTCATACTATTTTTATTGATGTAACGCTCGACTTTTTAACTCAAATTAAACGTATTATA